GAACAATATTGTTAGAATCACTTTTTTCCAGCTGATGAACTATAAAAACATTGACAGCCAATTAGAATCCACCCGACGTTGAGAACATGAACATTTAAAGCAACGGATGACAGCGTACATTTATTCTTGGCGTGAACAGGCCGCTACTGGCAATATTGAGTCTAAAATATATAATTGTGGGGTGGTACAAGTGCACAAGTCTGTTCCCCATCCCTTCTCTCTTCATCCACCATATCAAATAGAATGGGCAGGAGGAAAATAGTTTCCTCTTTGTGTATTTGATTTCGGAGAACATTTGAAGCATACCTAGCCTCCAAAATTAGTTTCATCTCGGTAATGGGTATGTCTCTCTCCCTGCAGACATGACTTGGCTCAAATATACATGTGGGAGACAGAAACGGGAGACTTGGATCAACCCACAACAATTCCTCTTTTACAGCAATTTTTTTTTGTTTACAGGCTATGGTATTTTTTTTTTTTTATATAAGTGATATTAAACTTATATCGGACAATGCATGACTGAACTTTGTATACTGTATATGTCATAAATGCAAGTTAAAGCCTGTTGCCTTAATGTAGATGTGACATTCACTGGGAAATAGATCTTGACAGGAGGCTTTATAAGGCTGTCAGAGGACATCTTAAGACAGAGTATCAGAGAAATAGGATCACTCCACCCAAAGGCAAAGAAAGCATGACCATATATGAAAGATACATTTCAATCCACCCATGACAAGCCTGCTCATATAGAACATTTCGCCTCACACACCTCAAAATGCTACTCATAACGCATCACATACCGAGAGAACCGAGGCGTTTGTAACCGAGTACGATTATACGCAGATTGTGTGTGTTTCAGGGCAACTGCTTCTTACAGATATTTCTTCTTCATCTGTATTTTTTTTCTTTTTTATAATTAGAAATTGTATTATCAGCACAATTGTATTATTAGAATTGAATTAAATGAACATTAGATCTCTCGAATGTCACAAAAACATTACGGTTTCAGTACTGATAATAATAAGAAGTGGTTCATGTGACACTAAATACTGGCGTGTTTGGTGCTGAAAATTCAGCGTTGCCTTCATAGAAATATATTTTAAAAATGTATAACAGTTATTTTAAATTGTATAAAAATTCACAATATTACTGTTTTTACTTTATCAAATCAGTGTCTTAGTGAGCATTAGTTTCTTTCAAAAACAGTAAAAAAAAATCTTCTGTAGGTTCTTAAGGATAGTTATGTTTATTTAGTGCCATTAACAGAGTTCACCCCCCCCCCCACCCTTTGAATTTGATCTAGCTGAACATGTGAATGAGAAAATGTTTCCAACATTAGGCTATTACTTTCCCCTAGGCTCTTACATGTTGGACTCGGATGTTGATTATTCCCTTGGGTTGGTGCAAGGACAGGTCCAAGATAAGATCTGAGCGTCCCATTCATCACACCAACAGACCCGCCCACTTCCCATGTTATTGAGTGCTTACATGAAGATGAACAATAAATGCAAAGACATCATTTGCTCTCCAGATATGATTAATGCGTTTGTCTTTGTGGTGATTTACACGGAATCCTTTAGGGTAGAGTGAAAGAAACAAACTATCAAATTATTTATTTATGGCTTCAGTTTATTCATAACATTTTTTAATCAATAAATGTAGAGGCATATTGTTTTATTGATTTCTCTCAGGGTTGCCCTTGAATACATGTCTCTTTGTTGTTCTGTCTCTCTTTCTCTTTTATCCATCTCTCATTTCCACTCATGCACACACATATTCCGAGGTCTCAATATCCGACGTCTCAGGAGTGGGACACTTGCACAGATCAGATACACACATTTGTAAAAGTAAATGTGGGGATATGGGTGTAATGATGTTAGCTTATGAATCATTGGCGCTTATTGAGGGGAAGGGCCACGGAGCAATCTCATGGGAGGCGTCTGTGCGATTTCCTCTGTGATTGAAATCCATTACAAGTTCCTGCATCTCTGCACTGGTGGGAGATACACTGATCGAGGGGAGGGCAGGCGGAGTGTCGTATGCTATAAATCACAGCCCTATTTTGTGTTTGTCAGTCATGGGCTGCAGATTTAGAAAATCTTCTTAAATCCTACAAAGGCACAGTTTGCCCCCTAAAACTGTAAGACTGGTAAAAACTGGTTGAAGAGATACACCTGACCACTGGTCTATGAGACGAAGGACCACCCAAGGGTGGTGGGTAAAACAGGTGTTTTACCATTCGTTGTAAAACTGTAGACCTATTTTTCCGAACGCCTCACAGCGGGACATTCTTCCGTTGAGAGCTTGAATAATAGACACTCCAGCCCAGTTGGTGGCGGTAATGCACCTTTGCCGATTGCAAGCAAACCACTTGTATAGTTTAGCCTATGATACCGTGACTGCATATACAGAGAGAAAACAAACAACCCCATTTCCGTTTCCAGAACATACAATACAAGTCAATGGAGTTGTACAAAAACTATGATAAAACCTGTTGGAAAACATCTTTTACAGCGATTTTTGTGTGAGCATATCATTGCACCCCAGATCACTCGGTGAGTTTCACGTCTTTGTGAACTAAAGTTGTATGCGTTTTATGATTGTTCCTGTGTACCTATGCTACCATTGGGTGTGGGGATGCTACCACAGAAGCTAAAAATTCTCGGGACAGCAGCATCTGTCTAAAAACAATCTTAACCATTCTATTTCATCAGAAACAATCTTAAAACAGGGCTTTAATTGTAAAATACCGAACTTGTCCTTTAATGATGCACAGATATCACTGAAAAACCTTTTCATTTATGGAGTCAGATGAAATATCGAGTTAATACATAAGATAAAATGTATGGCATTTAATTAAAAATCCCTTTGCCATGAGAAAAGAGGGAACACGTGTGAGACCTTTACCTCTAATCGAATACCCCATTGGATCGAATTAGACGGCCTTAAACCAAACCAAAGACCTCCATGTAACAGAAAACAGTTTTCTTTCTTTCTTTCTTTCTTTCTTTCTTTCTTTCTTTCTTTCTTTCTTTCTCTCTCTCTCTCTCTCTCTCTCTCTCTCTCTCTGCCTCTCTCTCTCATCCTTCATGGTCTGTGTAGGCCATCTCAGAGGCAGTAAATGCAGTATCCCACTGTGTTCACTCAAAAAGCCTCTTGTGGAAAATGCACATCGTGAGATACAATAGCCAATCTTTCTGACATTTGCCAATTGCCCTCAGATTTCCTCTTGGAAAAAAATCTACTTAAACTGTCAAGCATGTGTGCCGGGCACAAGCGAATATGTCAAGCCACCGCATTCGCTCAAATTGAGAAAACCTAAACTGTCCAAGGCTTGCTGCTGTTTGAGTGGGGTGGTTTGTATTGAAATTAAAAAAAAACCCACAATCACATCATTGCTGTCACTTATTTGAAATGAGCGGAGGCTGAAATCTTGACAGCAATGCATTCTTGCTTGATTGGACTCTTACATCTTCACAGTTAGTGCAGAGCTGAATGGAATGAAGGAACTGAACAATATGCATGATCTCACTGCTGGCTATGTTATCGTTCAACTGTATTTACTGACAGGAGAGTCTTCAATTGTCCTGTTCATACAACAATTTATGTCTGTATCCACAAACACCTAAAGGGAATTTTTACATGCTTGTGACTTAGCCATAGTGACAGTGGCTTCAGTAATTCCAGAAGGTTATGTCATAATTGAAACAAAGTTATATAATAAACAAATTCAACTAATGAGTCCATCGAAAAAGGCAAGAGTCTAGGAAATTTAAATATGGCATATTTAGATGTGACTAAAAAGACTTGAACTGTTTCTGATAGATTTGTAGATTTAAATAGTAGATTTATTAAGATAATTTTTTTTGTGTTTTTTTGTTTAACTCAGGTAATTCGGGTATGCGGGAATATGTGTTCGAGGGCAATTGGCTCCGACTGGTTTTGCTTTTTTAGAGTTGGAATTGAATAACCTTAAGGTTATGAAAATGTAACGGAAGTAAAGACAGATCTTTTCTTCCATATGGTGTACATCCGAGTAATCGGAAAAGAAGAAAAGTAGAGTGTGGACTTGGTTTTATTCATCAGTTGTTGATTGAATGGTGGATGATCTAAGATTATGAGGTTGCAGTCGATTCGTAAGAAAGGAGCTGGGTGGTTAAATGGTTAAAATGATTGTAGAAGTTCCACATATACGCCACCAGAGAAAAGTCTGTCGTTTTGCTGGATTTTCTTTTGTTTCTTTTTTTCTTAAACATGCATGGGTGAATCATTCTGTTGGTTGTGTTAGAAACCAGGGTTAATCTGTTAACAAATGCATGACATTAATCTGCTTCTATCATTTCCTGCACTAAGCATTTTGTTTCCTTCTCTGCGGGCTTGCCTGTAAGGTCACTCACCCTTAAGAGACAATCTTACAGTAGACTAGATTAGTTACTCCTCAGACAAAGGGCCGTGTGCAGAGGTTGACGGCCTTAATTCATTGTCATCAGAAAAGAACGCATAGTCCTTTTCAAACTAATTATTTGATAAAAAACATCTTGTGATTCCCATTAAAATTCTCATCCGTCCCTACCGCATAAAGGCTTTTCTCCTTCACTCTGCACATCCTCCAACAGCTCTCTGGACAGGACAATAAACGATGGCTTTTATGTTTGACTGAGGGACACATTTGGGGCTAGCAATAATAAAGATTGGCTGTGATGCATGATACATGTCTCTGTTTGTTGACAATTAAAGCCTAGTGCTGCCAGGGTGACAGAGCGTCACAAATCATCCGTTTCTTTCGGGAATTTGTTCAAACGATTTAACACATGATGGAATGATTTAGATATTTTTTTTACGTTTCCAAATAGCATGAATAATGTTAATGAAAAATAACAGAAAAATAACCATGAACAGAGTTTGTAATACTTCAATCCTGAAAAAGACCAGATTTAATAACCAGAGTACCTGTTTTTGTGCTTTGTGTAATTTTTGTGCATGAAAGTACAAAACTGACATCCTGGTAGAATATCCATTTATTCAAATTCAAAAGACAAAAAGGAATACACATTTGTGCTGTCTGCAGTCTGTGAACAACTCTGTATATATACACTTTATACAGTCATATTTATAATCTCATTATTTAGTAAAACAGTACACCATTCCCCTGTAACTGTACCCATGGATAATAAATCCCAATCCTCCCCTTTACTGCCCATTAGTTTGGCATTTTAAGATGTAAAAAACATTTGTTTTGAGGTTTTCAAAAACATTCGTTCAAGGATGCGCCTTGTGGTAAAATTCAAGTGAACATTTTCTTTCCAACCCAGAATCTTTCAGCCAATAACAAATGGAGCCTACAAAATAAGGGCAATAGCACTGGCTATTAGTGCAATCAACTCGAATGAAGATGTGAAAGAGAGGAGAGCCAAGTCCTCAACAGCAGCATTTGCATCTATGAGCCCCTTTCGCTCTAAGTGGGCACTTTAAATTCCAGAAGTCACACCTGAGCACATGGTTTTAGCACTGATGGCATTTCTGGAGTGAATATGCCTTTAAAATACACTTCTAGTGTGAGTATGACAGGCGGTTTTGTTTAAAATTAGGAGATATGAGGAAAGAAAAGCAGCTGTAATATGAACAAGTGGCATAACCAGGAGCTATTACAGGTTGGCATGGATGTCCTCGTGTCGCAGCACTTTGTAGGTGATCCAGTAGAAGACGTTGAATATAAGGAAGCTGAGAGGAAATACAGCTCTGGATATGGTGTCGATTCGCTTGGCTCGGTCCACAAACCGCTTCCGGATGGCCTCTCCGTCGTACAGCACTTGAACTGGGGGTGGTGGGGCGAACACTGTAGATGCCTCCACAGTTGTCCCATCTTTAGCTTGTAAGCAATGGCCCAGTCCGTACCCACGGAAGTAAAAGCCACGGCTTTCTCGAACAATTTCTTCCTCCTTTAACAGAAAGGCATTCTTAGTGTTTTTAGTGCCAGACATCAAAGAAAATGTCACATACTGGTTTAGTTTTTAGAGAGGGGGGAGGGGTAGTTATGCTGAACTGTAGATCATGTAAAAAGTCAAATGTCAAGTTTATGTACATTACTTGCTTTTATAAATGTGTGCATAATGTGTGCATTATAAACGGAAGTAAAAGCCACGGCTTTCTCGAACAATTTCTTCCTCCTTTAACAGAAAGGCATTGTTAGTGTTTTTTTTGCCAGACATCAAAGAAAATGTCACATACTGGTTTAGTTTTTAGAGAGGGGGCAGGGGTAGTTAGTTATACTGAACTGTAGATCATGTAAAAAGTCAAATGTCAAGTGTATGTACATTATTTGCTTTTATAAATGCTACCTGTGAAGCTTCATGCAGATCCTTTTTAGGTCAAAAATTAAGTAAAGATATGCTTAAAATAAAATCTGACAATAGGGCAACTTTATTTTTCTTACCTCATTTAGCAGATTGGTTTTTTGTTTTAAGCATAAACTCACTTATTTTTGATACATTTCTTAATTTTGGTCATTTTTCAAGTAAATGAATCTTGATTTAAGGCCTGAAGAAAGCTGTTTGTGCTGCTACATGTGGGTTGCTTCTCCACATGTCTTTTAATTTTGAAGAAGAGTGCCTTGGATTATCTCTTTTCAACATTTATTTGAATTCCGGACCCCAAAGATAACCTTCAAACATTTGAAGACTGAACTCCCCGAGCAAACCACAACAAATACCAGCCGGAAGTCATTCATTTCCAATGGAGAGTCGTACGGGAGCTGCGGGGAGTTCCGATCATATGCGTATGCGTAAAATTCATATCCGATTTGAGCTTTGGATCCGTTGAAATTTCTAAACTTCTGCGGCTAGACCGTATGCGACGGGCCGACCAGATGTGATGCATTCTAATCAAAACTATGTGCGCGAGGCTAGAATGTAAAACACAAGAGCTGTGTGCTACATAGGACAAGACAAAACAGGAGTATCAGGGCTCTGTCACAAAACCAAAAAAAAAAAATAGACTAGACAGAAGTGACAAGAACTTGCAGTGTAAAGTTTTTCCTTTTCCTTTTTTTTTTCAGTGCCAAAAAAGTAATTATGTAGTTACTAGAATGACACTAGAATGAAACTGACTGTTTTGAGCAATTACTTGAAAGTGAAAGGATTCTGCATTTTTCTCTCTAACCGTATATTATATTACCAACCATGTTTGATGCTGTGGTTGTATATCTCAACAACGAGATATACATTGATGTCAGTTGTATCTGCCGGCAAGACAGAATGCAGTCAAAATAATGGAACAAAACGCAAATACATCAAGATGTTTCCTTTTTACTTTTTTTATACAGTTGAACTGTTTTTAATTTGACACAGCATAATGATTTTTGTATAAAGGTTGGACACAAGAGCGCTTCCTGCATGGTTCCCTGACAAAAAAGAAGACCGTATGCTCTTTAGTATTCTACTTGGTCTACTTTTCCACATGTAGCAATTTGGCCTAGTTCTTGCCTCTAATGCCAAATAAATTAGTCATTTGAATCAGTTTATCTGTCAATCTTTGACAAATTACCCCTTTCCTCGAGAGGATAATAAGATTAAGTTCTCGTTTAGTTCTTCATTAAATCCTCTGCTTGCACCTAAATTCAATCCAGTCAATCAAATGCCTAGGACTAATGATGTGTTTGGTTAAAGATAAAGTTACCATTTAAATTGAGTTTAAAGTCACCTATGAACACAGTTTGGGTCAGTGTTTACCTTATTAATCAGTCCAGTGTGTAAAAAGAACTCTGCTGCAAAAACGTTTCAATTTCATGGCAATTCATGATATTTTACGTTTTGGCAAATTGATGGCTAATTTGTGTGAATTCGTCCGTTTTTGTATGATCTGCTTACACTCCAGTGATGGGTATGTTTAGGGGTGGATCTTCATTTTTTTCCTAATCATACATTTTTATACAATTCACATTGTATGAATTCATACATTAAATTTTCCATGAGATAATGTTGGAATTTGGTGTTATTTGAATCGCTGTACACATTTAAGGGGTGTGGAAAATGTGTGAATACTATTATCCCGTTTTACAACTGGCATTAACATCCATTTCAAATCAAGTGGTCACATGAGACACATTACTATAAAGAATAAACGACAATTGTAAGCGGTTCACTTGTGAAGTGTGTTCATACCAGCTGTGAACTGGGCCAGTAGGACGGAGGGGGTTCTGGGACTCAAGTGTTTGCTCATGGGCAAATAAGATTGGCAACACAGATGTTTTTTTTTTTTACCATGGCACAGGTGTTGCAGTGCTGGTTGAGTTTGCTGGTGCTATTACCAGGGAGTTTGTTCACTCTCCACAGTGAGTCAAAGCTTCCTGCAGGCTGTCTTGCTCCAACCTCCATCAAGGAAGAATGAAATGTTTTGTTTCTCGTTCTTTGTACATGACAATTTGGAACATATGTCTTTTTCTCCCTAAATTAACTTCTGGGGATCAATAGAGCACATCCATCCATCCATCCATCCATCCATCCATCAATCAATCAATCTGTCATTTTTATGTATCTTGCACAGTTCAGTGCACTTTCAACCATAACAATTCTAGGCAGGCTGAACAGACTCATTTTCATTAAAATTGGCAACTGTGTAAATACTTCAACAAGAATTTAACAGCTATCAAGCCGCTGCTCTCCAGCACCATCCACGTTGCTAGGCAACACTGCTTATGAGTGTACACTTCTTTGCAGGTTGATGAGGGACACTCCAATAAAGTGCACGTACACTCAAGCTAAATCTGACCGTCTCAGCATAACTTGATAAAGTCCTAAGACAAGAGAATAATGTTAATGCTGATGTTTAAATCAGACACAAATAACTTATTACTGGGTCATAATGGTTAACTAATTGACTAGTTGTCCAAGATCCAGGATAACTTGATCTAGATTTTTTGATTTCCTTGGTGGTGCTATAGCGGTTAAACAGTTTGCATCCCCTTTAAAGTACAGCTAAGGGCTTACACAGTTGGAGAGATGTATTTTATGATTTTGCCACATTTTGTCCTTTTTGTTTGTGATGTTTTTTAGGACGTGTGCCAAGTTAAAAATTAAGTTAAACTTTTAAAAATGCACTGAGACACCTCCAGTCTGTTTCATTTCATTGTGTCCAACTAGATGTTTTTGAACGTAGCAACGCTCATTGTGGTTATTATTAACTAAAACTATTAAAATTGTTTTTGGTAATTGAAATACAGATTAAAATATAGCTGCGAGCAGGGATGATGGGCCCAAGCCGGTGGCATCGCAACCCTGGTGCCTTTAGTTACCTAGTTACTATATATAAATATATTTTAAGGGGCAAGACAGAGTAATACACGCCACCACATAGGGTTACCCGACGTCCTGAAAAATTCGGGACAGTTCCGAAATCTAAGCTGTTGTCCCAAATCCGGCCCATTTTGTCCCGAAAATTATACTAAAGCAAAATCTTGAATAGTTATTGTCTGATAAAATATTAAAAACTGTCCGTGGAGGTTGAGTCGGCCCCTGCCGGCGGCTCATTGGCTACAGCATCTTTTCTGTTTCTTTTTTTGAAGTTCTACAAAGATTTAGGCGCAAATTTAGATATACATTGATAAGCAAATTTTCATTAATTTGTTTCGTTGACATAACTGGTGTACTGGAACCACAACATGCCACTTTTTGCCAACATGCCAGCCTGTTGATCTTTGAAAAAAAATGTTTGGTTCAGGTTTGAAATTCATTATCTTTTATTATAGGCTATGTAGTCTAATATCAAAGTAAGCCTACCCATAAACACCCCTTCTCTTATTTAAAGATACACCTTTTGTACCTAAATATAACAGCTTCAAGGGGGCATCTGGGACTCTAGGGGTCTCTAAAAAGCTGATTCAAAATATCAAATAATATATTAGTATAAATAATATTTAAATAACACTGGTAACGTGTCTTATTTAAACCCCCCCTAAGAAATGCATCCCATGAATCTGAAACCAGTGTAATTATACAGGGCTATCTTGCATCCAATAAGGTTAACCATTCAGGCAACTCACAATTGGTAAATTTTGAAAATTTGTTGTTTTGCTCATCCCTAAAACAGGCTTGATCCTCTCAGCACCAATTTGTTAGTGTTTTCTTGAGCAGGAAAATGTGCCCTAATTTGTCTATAGTGTTATTAAGGCAGGATGAAGCCAAGGATTTGTTGTATTGATTATCCTGGCCAGTAGTTGGTCCATCAGCCTAACATCTCTCTCAGCCAGTGACCCATGCATCGATACCACCCAGATTGATCATTCAGACCAGAGACTTTCTTGGCGGGAGAAAATAGGACAAAGAGTAATAGTCGCCAATATCTCCGAGGCAGGAGGGGGAGGAGAACTCGCTCATTCTTAAAGGAGTTATTCTCATTTTTCTCTCATTATTGATTCAGATTTAGCTAACACGCTCGTAAATCTCCAGCACTGTGAGCTTGGACAGCATGTGCTGTTGTACAAGCCCGGAAAGTGCCCTGGTTGTTTTAGCCAACAGTTAAAAATGTGATTGTTGGGCTTTGATATTTACTAGTCAAGAATTTTATATTGTAGTATTTATAGAAATTACATTTAAAACCTATTAAACACATTTAATGTGTTCAGAGTGATTTGACTCTCTGAAGCCCTGGGGGTATTTTCTAAGCTTTTCATTTAGAAGCCTCTTTTTAGCATTTCAGGCAGTGTCTGTGATCTCGGATCAGGAAGCAGGTTGTTGGCCTTTGGAAATTGGCTGAAGCGAGGCTTTACAAGGTGGCACAAATGGTGGGCTAAGCACATGGGACTGCTCACTATGGAAACAGGCTGATCTGAATTCCCCCACACGAGATGTGACAGCCAGCTGTAGTATGGCCGTTGCCAGTGTTTGGATGTGGCTGAGCACAATGAGAAGAGATGCGAGTCAAAGTGTAATCCAGGGTGACAGCGCAAGCCTGTATTTGTTTGTGTCTGTGTGTGTATGTGCATCCGAGTGTGTTCATCGCACTTACTATTCTCTGCCTTCGCTGTTTCTTGCGCAGCCTGATGAATTCTTTGTGTTGCCTTGAGACGAAGTTGACTGCTGCGTACTCCAACAATGCAGCAAACACGAACAGCAGACAAACGGCCATCCAGATGTCAATGGCCTTCACGTAGGACACCTGGGATGCACAAGGTCAGAACAACATCAATAGATAATCAATAAGGGCATTGTTAGGAATAATGAGGCTGTGTTGACTTTGGGCATCCTTTTCATTAACTTATCAGTTGAGACATTTCCATAGAACACAATGTATAATTTGCATAGGGCCTTAGGACTACATCTGAAGAGGACATTATTTGAATTAATATTTAAAATCTCTTACATTTTTAAGCAAGTAGGCTAAGTATAGGCAAAAAAGAACAAAAGATTACATTTAAACTTTAAAACGTGGTCTCGTGTGCACCCTTTTTAAAGCTAAAATGACAAATGGGACACCCTACATCAGGTGTGCCCAACCCTGCTCCTGCCAATCGACTGTCCTGCACAGTTTATTTCCAACTCTAATCAAACACACCTGAAGCAACCAATTAAGGTCTTCAGGATCACTTGAAAATAGGGGATTATCATGGTGATATGCAGGACTTCCGGATTCAGTGATCTTTGTGCACTGCCACTTCCGTTGAATCACCGATCTCGCTGGCGAGCTGATGACGGACTACACTAAGTTTATTTATACGGCATCCCTGGTAAATTAGTCTGATTCACCAAAGTGCCGGCTGCAAATAAACATGCTACCTTGTTTTATTTTAAAGTTTTAATCCAGTTCTTCCTTATACTCAATTCAGTCGGGAATCCATGAAAACTTACATAGGGTTGGCGTTGTTGGTTAGATTTACAAAGTGGAACAGAGCAGTGACCTTATATAGCCTTCGTCTCAGCCATTGTTGAACTGCGTCGGAAGTGGACATGCCCAAAATTGACAAATCCCGCCCATAATCCCCTATTAAAGGCATGTGTGTTTGATTTGGGTTGGAGGTGAAATGTGCAGGACAGTTGATCGGCAGGAGCAGGGTTGGGCACCCCTTCCCTACATAGACAGCCATTGTAAGACCTGAAGTGTGTCATTTGGGACAAGGCCCATGAGACTGTAGGTGTCCCATGTTAATTTAGGTGCCCCCCTTTGTAGTCGATATGCACCCTTGCTGCACACTTTTGCTGAGCCCTCACTGAAGCAGACTTCTTCCCGACAGTCAAAGCTATGTTAAAGTGCGAACTTGTAGGAAAATCCCAAGTGCTTAGGATGAAGCATACAGGCCTATAGAATGGTGCGAAAAACAAATTCATTAGGGAAAGAAATTGCAAATTCCTATGATCAAAGGCTTAATGCGTTCCATTGAACACATTGCAAGGATTCCGCCAGTAGTGGACACTCGTGCAAAGTAAGCAATAACGTACATCTGAGTGAACGAGGCGGAGAGAAGATGGCGAAGGAAGGGCATAAAAGAATGGACATAAATGCATTCCCAAAAGCATTGTAAGCCTAAGTAGATTGTAGAGCCATTGCCACCAATTGTCTTTATAATCAAATTAGCTCATTAAGAAGCGTTTAAAAAACGCAGTGCTGATCTAATAGTAGTCTGATTTCTGATTCATGTAAAATGAGGATAGTAAATACAGTAAAAATTGCATTTCCCCTTTACATGTCTTCATTAAAAGTGTTAAAATAACCACTTAGGAACCTGAATTTGTTGAGAGGAATTGTGTTTAGAACAACAAAACAAACAAACAAAAAAAGATTATATATTTTTTATTATTCAGAATTCATAAATTTTTTAGCGAACAAATCTTTAAACAGAAGCAAGTGCTCTTGGGCACCCTTTTAATTATTAAAATAGTCACTTAAAACAGGCAAGCTTATTTTCACGCCTCTCTGCTCTCGTGTTTTTATTTATTTTCATTGATTGTCTCATTAATTCACTCATTATCTAATAACTGCACTGATTTCTGAAATTCCGTTTTCTCTCAGAACTGAGTCATTTTGGTTATGTTACCTTGGGTAGAGAGGCTCGTGAGCCGGAGCTCTGGGTAGTCATGGTCAGCACAGTGGTGATACCCAAGCCAACGCGGGCAGGGGCAGCATCCATGTTGATCCAGAAAGACACCCAAGATAGAATGACAATCAGCAGGCTGGGGATGTACATCTGAATAAGATAGTAGCCCATCTGTCTCTCTAAATGAAACTTCACCTCAATACAGGTAAATTTACCTTGGGGAACACAGAGTTTCATAGGTAAGTAACTAAGTATAGCTACTTTTAATGTATTGTTGTTTACACCTGGTTAATTATTAATGTCATATCGCTGGTGTATGTAGGGGAAACACCATACATGCATTTAAAAATCCATTAGAGGACCTTGAAATCATTTGTGTTTGCTACAGTGTATATGGTGATTTTTTATATAGATATTATTTGATATGCCTGAAGGTTGTAGTGAAACGTGTACCTGTGTTGTAATGCTTAGTGCAGTAGCCGAGATCTTTTTCCTCCTTTAGTAAAAACTGAGGAAGAGTCAAATCATCCGCCACCTGCACTGGGCTTTCAGAAAGCCACTCGAAGATCAGATCGTTCATGGTGTAACCAACTGTGAAAAGGGAGAGAGAATGAAATAGAAAAATGCGTATCTGTGCATAAAAGTGTGAATTGCACCAGTCAAGCTTCCACTTTCATCCCATACTTTGTACACTGCATAAAAGGTCATCTGACAGACAACAAACCTAAGGGGTAGATTGGTAGATTGAATATCTAATCCAACATGTGACCAACATGAAATATTTGAACAAATTAATTGGAAATCTTTCTTTCTTATATTATTTTTCTTTCCTTATCCATGCTACTTGGCTCAAATTCTTCACATCCCCCACATAGCTTCTAACAGGTCTCTCTCTGTAGTACACATTGAGATTAGGGGCCTATTAAAAATGCATAAGGCATGCAATAACAGTGTAGAATACTTGACAAATCTGAATAATATTGATGTCTATCAGAGACCCTCAGGGATTTACAAAGACATCTATTATTCACAAACCTCCCTATCCCCTTCCGTCTTCAAAACAACAAACCAATGAAAAAATGATAAAGACGGAAAGTCCTTGAATGTCATGGTGTCTTTGAATAGTTTGTTGTGGTTCCAAACATTGCATTCAAAATAATACAAGAAATATGAATGTTTTTCCAAGATTAGGATTGCCTATTCTAGCCTCAATTGTCAATATAAAAAAAGGGATTATTTGCAATATATTCTTCAGTGTGTCATAATCTTTCAGAAATCATTCTGATATGTTTATTTGGTTTATTTTTCATATTCTATCCATATTAAAAGCAGTTGTGCTGCTTAATTTTTGTGGAAACTGCATTTTTTGGGGGGATTCTTTGAATGCAAAGGTCAAAGAAACGTACTCAGTCACTAAAGTAACCTCTGTTCACTCTAGAAGAGGGAACGAGTATCTTACACTAGGGGAAAACCTCTTTTACATGAGATATTGAAGCCAAAAATTATCCTTAATTTTGAATTAAGGTAAAATGCATTGCAGCAGCATGCAGACATAGGCAAGATGGCTTGTGTGCCTATTTGCTGTCCTGCGGCAACTGCAGCAGCCTATCAAGAGAGGCCCTTGGTCACATCAGATCCATTGGGGGCACTTCACGGCCACTGCGTCACCTCCCGCCAAAGCGAGCATGGCCTGGGCCTATGGGTACAGCTCAATGGGCTGATATAATCTGTTTTTTTTCATCGCTGAAGTGATGAAAATATACACAGTACTCATCCCCTCTTCTAGAGAGAACCGTTGTTACACTAGTAACCGTGTACGTTCTCTTACGAGAGGTTCTCTCGTACTGCGTTATATCTTACGCTAGGGGAACACCGTATAAAATGCAATGCGTGCTTGAATCTAACACCAAAGTCCCAAGGGCAGGTGCCTGGGGCTCATATAGTGCATAATCACCAGGGACTCACAGAGTCTGAGAGGAGAAGCTAGAAGCGTCATTTCCAATATGTTAGCATTCAAAAACGCCTCAGCGCCATTGTCGACTGCCAAAATTTCTAGACAGTTTATATGGAGGAGCTTCTCCTATTCTGACCACTGGCCAAAGAGCGGTCTGCCCTCAAGCAGATCTCCCCATCCCGAGGTGGAGGCATCCGTGGACACCACCTTCTCACTCGAGGAAGTCCCCAGATTTACACGTGGTACCAGTCGATTTTTTTCCCTAGGTTTCAGAGTTGTGACACATTTCTTGGAAGGCTATGAAGACTTTGAGGCCTCTGGCTTTATCGCAATCTTTTGCCGGGGCACACGCGGAGGGGGGTGGTGGCCAGCAGCGCAAGAACGGGGTCTCTGGTCCCGGGCTTGAGCAGATGGCTGTTTTGCTGCAAAGCTAGAGCACTTTGGTAAGAAGTGCTTCATAGCCAGTGACGTCTTCTGAACTTCAGCTATAGGTGTCTCCCAGCAATGGTGAGAGAAGCGTTGTTCCACCCAATGGGCTGTGTAGCGGATTTCGCAGGGCGAAGAGCGAGGTGCTTCAGGCTCTACAAATCCGACATGCTGATAGCTTCCAGTCCTTCCTCATCTAGTTTTCAAGGCCAATGTTTGCTATGGCCTGTGAGAGCAGACGCATCAGCTCGGATTCGATGCTGGCCAGTTTCCCTGACTATTTCCGTGCATAGGGGGTGAGGTCCACGGAGCCACGGAGCAACTTCTTCACTCTGGATCCAGCGATGTGTGAGCTTCGCTGAAGGGATGAACAATCTGATTATATCAGCCCATCTAGCTATATTTATAGGCCCAGGCCACGCCCGCTTTGGTGGGACGTGACGTGGTGGGCGCGTGTGATCTGACGTCACCAAGGGCCTCTCTCTCTCGAGGCTGCTGCAGTTGCCACAGGACAGCAGATAGGCACATGAGCCGCCTTGCCTATGTCTGCATGCTCTTGCAAAGCGTTTAACATTCATTCAAAATTAAGGATCATTTTTGGCTTCAAGATTTCGTGGAAAAGAGGTTTTCTACTTGCGTAAGATATTACGCAGTACAAGAGAACCTCTCGTAAGAGAACAGGATTTTACACAAACACACACATTTTGATCAATTTAATGCATTCTTGCTCAATGAAAGTATTAGTGTCTTTGAAAAAAACTGACCCCAAAGTTTTGAACAGTGGTGTTCTGTATATTTCAGATAAAGACTTTATGCGTTCCACTCTTGGTCATATAAGCATTATTGATTTGTGTGCCCTTTTATAATTCACAAAAGCACCTGTTAATCTCTGTGTATATAACTAAAAACATTCATTTTTGAAGCCTTTATACTAAACTTTATATTAACATTCCATTTGTCTACTTTCCCAATTCTGCTTAATTTTTTGTGCCTTTGTCATTGTGTTTTTCAACTTATCTTCCCTTGACAACACTTTCGCTTACCAAGTTCCCCCCATTTTATTCCCCCCCCCCCTTTTTTTTTTTTTTTTTTTTTTTTTTTGCTGAAACCTTTGCTTTAACACACCAGCATCAGATTTCTCTACCTGGATGTCTTCTTCCCAGACAAGGTGATCCCACCCGACAATCCCAATCCTGCACTCGTCAAAGCGGTGTTCAGCAGGCCTTTTCAAAGCCCTAAAGGTGCTCTTGTCTAATCGGAAATGATTATTCTCAGAGTAACAGCTTTTGTTAGACAGTAAACCTGCCCGTCTTCCTGTGTGTATATTACTCTGTCTGACTCCAGTCCTTAGAAGAGGGTGATTTTAACTGTGGTTACAGAGGAGGGCTTTTTCACTCACTAAATAAATACTGTAGACATTCAGAGGACGCAGAAAGGACAGTAAAACAGTATGTTGGTGTAGTGCGTCCCCTACATTTTTTAAACCATATGAGTCACTGAATGTGGAGGTGCTGCCTTTGGTCACCACACATAAATCAAAAAATCCAAAAGGCAAATCCAGATGTCAAGCTAAGTGGCATCTGCAGTGCATGTCTGTATTACATGGATATCTCATTTGGCTCCTCTTGTGGTTAGAAAGGGGAGTTCTTTTGTCTTAGGGATGTGGCATTAAAAGCCTCTTGGGCAAATGAGGTGGGCCACATAATAAAGGGGACACAAAATGAAAGTTTCATTATTGATATCCTTTAAATTGGTTCTAGGAGTTAAGATGCTATCTGCTCTGGGGGCACTGAGGTGGTGAATTATCTATTTCTTTGCCAGCCTCTTCCTTTTATCAAGGTAATAAGGAAGGGCACTAGACACTACGCACAGTTTTAAAATGAGGATTCTGTATCGCTGAAACTTCCTCTAGCAGATTCTTCTTTTTTTGTGCAGTGAGACATAGAAAACTGTTTTGAGTAATCTCTTTTCTACATTTTTAAAAAAAAAATCCCCAAATGCTCAGTTATCAAGCTCACAAGTAGAAAAAGAAAAAAGTTAATTGTCATTGCCTTCTTAACAGGATATAAATGGCAACAGTTCTACCATTCAAAAGTTAGAGGTCAGTAACTTTTTATAAGAATCCTGAAAAAGAGAGAGTTTCTACAAAAATTAAGCAATGCAACGGTTTTCAACTGCGATAATAATATAAATGATGTAAAAATTATATATAATAAAAATTATGTATTATATAATAATGATAAATGTTTCTTGAGCACCAAAACAACATTTTGATTTCTGAAGAATCATATGACACTCAAGACTGGAGTTAAGGATGCTGAAAATGTAGCGCTGCAATCACAGGAATAAATGACATTTTTTAATATAATAAAATAGAAAACAGTTATTTTAAACTATTTCATGCTTCACAATTACTGTTTTTTTTAACTGTATTTTTAATCAAATTGGTCAGCATAAGAGACCTTTCTTTAAAAAAAATGACCCTAAACTTTTGAAAGATATAGAGTGCATGTTCACCATATAGAAGTGTTCATAGGAAGGCTTTTAAAACACTGAGTTTCAACTTCATGGCTATTGAGGTCGTGCATTTATTAAAACAGTGTCAGAAGATTTAGAAGTAGCAAAGTGTGAAGCGGGGAAGGCGAGGAGAGATGGGGGAGGGAGAGATGAAGAGTAGAATAGAGTACTCACAGCTTTCTAGCTGCATGGTACAAGTCTGAATGTCCATTGGGAAATTCTTCAAGTCCATGGGACAAGACAGGATGAGTGTTAGCCTGAGACAGTGTGCAAAACAGGAAAGCAGATAGTGAGGAATAGTCAGTGGAAAGAGTGAAACCACAAAGGGCAGAGAGAGATCAAAAAATTGTTTGCAAGCAACAGGAGGAGAAGCAGAAGCAAAGAAGATAAGATTGTCATTTTGTTTCTTGGCCCTCATGTCTCTTTTTTTAGCAAATATCTGACCACTATTTTGCAATAGAATTAAAGTGAAAGAGGATGCTGCAAGCTTTAAAATTATATTTTACAAAAAAAAACAAAAAAAAAAGATTGAATATAGTGCATAAATTGTATGGACTACTTTGATGATACTTCATAATATTTAACCTCATTTAACCTGACCCCAATTAAAATTGCATCTATAAAACAACCACATTCTTCAAAATATCTTTGTTTGTGTTCCACAAAGGTTTGGAACAACATTAGTTTGACTTTTTTTTTAAATTTATGCATGGATAATTGTTGTAAATTATAATTTCAGAACACACCATTAATCAAAATCCCAGTTTATACTGTCTCCGTATGATTTCAGATCTATGGTCGTACACTTTTTCCCTTTGATTTGCGATTATAAAGTGAATCTCTAAATGTGGTGTGAATTGCCCAGTTTTTATCACATGCCTTCTTTGTAAAAGCAAACTATCTTTTCTTTACTTCGTGTGGCTGTTAATATTCAAGTTTTAGCCATAAAGATAAGTCACCGGTATTAAAAACTTTGGATAGAGGAAACAGTGTAATTACCTGCTGTAATGCAATGTCTCAGAGAAAGACAAAGTCACCAGTGTTTTTTTGAGGAGCCAATTTCTTTTGTGCTGTGATAACCCTAAATTCAAACCCCAAAATATCCACACTTACACACTCTGATGTGGAGACCTTTTTAGGCTCTTTAACACATGATTTATTTCCTCCTTGCAGTTTCCAAAGCGGGACCAGGGCACGATTAATTGCGATCAGGGAAGGGCAGTATTTATGATGCATTTCAAATACGTATTTCTAATATAAATTTGTAATTTATATTGATGAAAATGGTATCCCCTAACCCTAACCCTAAAAAAAATAAAATACTTTGTAAGAAGTCTACCTGATGACATCATAAAAACGCGGCCTCTGATTGTGCCGACTCAGTAGTTTGCTCTTGTTGAGATCAGAACAGAAAAGGGAAGACAGTGATCAAGGTAAGAAGCATGCAGGCTGTCAGCTTTCCATAATTTTTTTGCATAAATTGGTATTATTCTTAACATTTTGCAACACAACTTTATTTGCTATGAATAAAGGTGCCTTCAGTTGTCTTCTTTTAATGAATGACTTGTTTGTCAATAGGGGCTTTCACACCGGAGGAACATTTTCATACTTCATAGACCTATTGGCGGAAGTAATCGGATTTTGGCGCTCCACACCACAGTAACTAATAATGAACTCCAGAAGAACTCCTTTTGGAGGAACTAATTTAGCTCTTACATTAAATCAGAGTAGGGTTTAAATCAACGCTCTATGAAACTACAGCCCGTTCTCATCCCAAGGCGTCATATACTGACGCTTTTGACATTTCATCTACATCCAACGCACATGTCACCCTTAAGCATCAATATGAGACGCAGATATAAATGCAGTCGCCTCAAAATTGAAACTCAATTTTGCAGTCGCCTACAAATTTCAGTTGCCTCAAAATTGCAACGTGCAAACAATGCACCTGAACACACCTCGTTTTCAGACAAGTACGCTCATGGGCAAACCAATGCATTTGCTATTTAAACAACGTAGTGCAGGATGTGAAAATGATAATTGCATCAGGCTGGAACTAGCGAAAAACACTTGCGTTGCGCCCGTATGATAGGGCCCATTGAGTCGGTGTTGCTTTTTTTTTTTGTGGTATTTTTAAAATACAAAAATACAGTAGTTTATTTTGCATGGTGTGAAAGCTGTATTTTGTAGTTTATTTTGATACACTTAAAATTAAGGCATTTGTTTTGGAATTTTTTTGAATCCATTTTGATGTATCTTTGCCCAACCCACAAATACATCCATCAACTTATTGACATTTTTTAGGGATGTTTCTTAGATGTTTTTAAAAACAAAACAAAAATAGAAAGAGTACTTGGAATTGAGAGTCAAGCCTTTTTATTTTGTTTTTTTAGGCCACATAAAATCTCTCATATAACGTATTTTATATTTTCTGATTAATAATTGCACAAACTCCAATGTGATCATTTATTTTTGCCCAGCTCACTTCTTTAACATTTTGCAATAATATTTTAAAGCAAAACCAAATCTCCCTTCATCACTAGTTCTTTTTAATTCCTCTTTGTTCTCTGAAATATCTTTAGACTTCTCTGCTTACCTAATGCTGTAAAGCACATTCCCATTCTGAAATATCCTCAGCAGCTTGTTGTCTGTTGTGACTTCATGGAAGTTGGCACCTTTCTCATTAGCAAAGAACAAGTCGGGTTTCCATATGGAGTCCAACATAGAAGGGTCCAGGTCTAGAGATGCATCAGGATATTCACTATACGCAAGTCGAGGGTCATTCCACTGCTGGCGTAGAAAGACATTAAGCCTGTAATCCTGTAGGAAGAATAATAAATGTGTTGGGTCCTGAAATCTACTTTAGTTTCTGGACTTGTTAAATATTCATGTTCTTTTTAGACCTAATGTTCTTCTTTTAAATTGCAAACCTAACACAGACTAAATCAAGTATGCCCTTGTCTTGCAGGTAAACAACATGTTCTCCCCTGACATTAATTTCTCTTGTACAGTAAGTCCTCCATTTCCAATAATCTAACCTCAGGTTAGCCGACTAGCAGACCGCTGACAATCTGTAACGGTCAACTGAAACATTCTGCTGACAAAGACACTTTTAAGCACAGGCTTTAGAGGATGGTTGTATCATCCCCCCTTAAGTTCCTGGTCGTTCTTTCAATTTCTCATTTTAATTGCATGGTGGACAGTTCATTATCAGCACATCAGCTGACCCACTGGACTCTAAACTTCTAAGTGATTTGCTCCTCGAGAAAGTCAGGCAAGCAACTAAAACTCCTCCAGCAGAAATATAATAGAAATATAATAGACGAGCATGCCGCCCAAAAGAATAAAGATAAAGAGAAGGTATTCTGAACTAAAATGAACTAGTGTTGTGACATACCATAGTTGTCTCAGTAATGGATCCAAAGCTGTTGATGAAAATATTACAGGTGACATTTACTGGTGGTCCTGTTGAAATAGAGGAGAGAAGTTTCTTATGTTTAGACTTGAATATACTTTTGTCAATGTTTGGAGAGTGAATGAAAACTAGATAGGTGGGACTAGTAGAATTTAAAGTGATAGTTATCACAATAATCAAAATTTTCCCTATTTTTCTGCATATACTGAAATGATATGGTTACCAATCCTCCAAAAATGACTAAAAGCAACATCAAAGTGGTCCATGTGACTTGTGTGCTTAATATTAAGTCTTCAGAAAACATAATAGGTTTGTGGGAATTAAGATTGAAATTTACCTTAACGTGGAATATTAGAATGGAAATTAGAAATTAAAGACTAACTGAAATTAAAATAAGTACTAAAATTATAACAAAAACATAATGAAAAAAATGAAAAAGCTAAATAAACAAGCATATAACATAATTCATCAAAAAATAAATTATAATAAGAAGAACAGAAAGCCTTTCAAAGAGCATTTCCCAGTCTTTTAGTGTATAACACACAGTCAGGTCACTGGGCTCTATCTACTGTCACCTCATTTAAGTTCCCAGGAGCCACTGCTGTCAAGCTGCTACCAGTTTCACAGTAGGCTATGGTGCATATATCCCGACAAAAGCTTGTTTGTTTACGTTCTGTCACACCTTTGAAGTTGGGTCTGATGCGAGCGTCATAGCCGGAGGTTCTTCCCATCAGCTTGTCCAGAAAGTCCGATGGGGACATAGGCTTCGGGCCTGGCCTGCTGGAGGACTTTATCTCCTCTTTACAGGAGCCCAGTCTGCCAGAGATAGAAAAAACGAAGAGGAAGGAGTGTAGAAAGAAGCCAGAAAGAGAAAGGTGAGGTAAAGGACGATAGATGTAGTCAGTGATAGTGGCAGAGAAAAACGTGAATGAATCATTTTAATAGAACATTTGAAAAGACCAGCATGCATTTTCATGCTAGTCTATCTGGTGAAAGTAGTAAAGCAGCATTCATATATATATATATATATATATATATATATATATATATTCTGACCCACAATACTGGACTTTTCTGCAGGGAATACAGAGGCATAATGCATTAAACATACATTCTTCATGCTGTGTTTTTACAGAAGCCTGACACAGTGATCATGGCACAGAAAAACCAAACCCCCTAAATCCCTAGGCAGGGGGGAGGTATTGTGTCTGACAGACTGATGGCTCAATTGAAATGCTGTGAATGTCACAGTTAGGGGGAGATGACTTTGATTCCAGTTCCAGCGGGACTCAGTCTGTGCCTGGCAGACCTGCCAAGCTGGAGCAAGTGGATCCCAGTGGCTGGAGCCCTGGATTTGACTGGATCTTTTTCTTTCTGGATGTTTCACTTCAGAAAAAGTGTTTTCTTCAGTTTTAAGCAAATCAGTCATGACCTCAGTCCCCAGCTCCTGAGAAAAAGGCCATCAGAATCTGTCTCTTAGTCTTGACGCCAAACTTTCTGATCAGTGACTTTTTCCTCAGTGTTGTCACCACAGAAAACTTTGAGTGAATTTTTTTTTGTGGAAACTCCCATGTGAATCACTTTACTTGGATTGCATAATGTTTGGGGGGAAAAAACAGTATAACAAGGCTGTCTTCTCCCCCAAAGGCCTGAGAGATACTGATCTCTCTTGGAGCGAGAAAAACCTCACAGACTCCAGGGCTTCCTAATCATCCAGCTCAGCTCTTGTTTATCCCAAAAATGAAAGAAAGGCTGCTAAATGAATCACCCCCACCTTTTTAGTGTGGTCCAACCGCCTTAGAAAATCTGGCTTTTCGCTCACATTCCTACTTTTTTTCAGAAGATTTTCTGATCAGACTTTGGTAGAGCAAAGCATGCATTTTTAAAGAGTCGCAGGAGAGAGAAGGCAGCGATCAAGTTTGTTTTTTCGGCCTTGAGTGTCTGACTCACGTTTGCATCCAAGTACCATCAGCATCAAATTGTGTTTATAAACCTCACGGCCCTATGGCTGATATGCACAACTGTGCCAAATTCATATCTAAGTCTTTCTGAACTTGGGCAGCCTCATTTCATTGAGCTCTTTACAGATTTCCCTTTCTCACTCTTTATTTCACTAGGGGAGAGACCATATGTTTTACTTTCTCTCTTTCTCCCTTTTTCTCTGACTCACCTAAACAATAAATGTTCTTTATAACTGCAGAGTGTATTACGGACATTCCGATTACATTCTAATCCCCAGAAAATGGTTTATCTAATATTTGACTCAGGCACACAAAGAACAGCAATGGCAAGAAGCCATGGCAAAGGTCCAAGCGTGTGTTTGTTCTGGGTGTAATCCATGGTTTCTGTTGTTTTGGTTGTCTGGTAATAAAATATTTCAAAGAGAATACGCAGTCCCATTTGAAATGCACCAACTTGTCATTTCAGGCAAATGATTAGACTGTCTACATATTTACACTATCCATTTTGAAGATGTGGTGGGTGTATGTTGATGCACATTTTGTAGTACATATTCTCTGTAATGACACACAATGACATTTTTTATATAATGTGGTAGAATCCATATCCATGCTTAAGGTCCTTGCACACGGAGTCCGAAATTGTCATATGCGTTTTTTTTTCCCGTATTCGTCATTCGTTGGCTCTGACTTTTGGGTTTGCATTTGGGTACCAGTATTCAATTTGAAATGTAAAATGCAAAATGACAATGCAATATGTAATATGGCTATGCATTTCTGTATTTAAATTTACATTATCGTTATAATAGTTGAACCACATACCCCACACTCTCTAATTATAATTTAGACTCTTTTATAGGCCTACAATAATTTTGCATTATCATTTTATCTGTATTTTAAGATGAACATAATGTTTCAATTGTTTTGTTATAATAATAGTCGTCTTTGTATGCACTATAATGATCTGGAAGACAAATATGACAGTTATCCCTTTAGTCTGCTTAAAATATTTAGACAAACTCAGATCTCCTTTAATACAATTTTCTTTTTTTCAATTTGTGGCAGGAATGAACATATAGCTTCAGACGACATGCTCAGAGGGAATCATAAAACAGAAAAAAGTGTATTTGAGCGGTGTAATAAATCTGTTATATTAAGTTAGCAGGTCACATGTGATTACCTTCCATCTCTCACAAAAGCAGTCTATCAACAGTGTTCAATTAAAAAGTCATTAATTAACTTCTATGATTGACCTACAGCCCTGTGAAACTCTAATTGTCTGGAGGTTTTACTGCACTGATTATAGAGATACACAGTTCCTGTGTGTTAAATCTCACATAGTTACTGTCTGTTACAATATTTCTTTTCATTTTTGTCACGATTATGTGGAAAGATTCATGACTGGATTTGAATCCCCCCTCCTCCATGAGTTCTTAGTCATCAAAAATGGTTTCAGATTGTGAATACATTAGCATAATGTATCATAGCATGCTTAATTTTTCAACGACAACGCAGAAAAGTTTAGAAGGGGGGTACAATTAAAGATTAGAATAAAATTCCCCTCTCTGAACTTTTCAGGGAGCTAAGAAATAACTGTGGGGGGTGTTCTAAGTTTGTTTCATGCTGGGATGTTGTCTTCAGTTGGGTGATGACCAAAACATTTTTTAATGTAAGCCTTGAAAGATCGCTGACCCCTGCATCACCCGTCATTAATTTATAATAACTGCCTTTACCCATTGCTCACTTCACAGTATCTCAGATCTGTTCCCATAAGACAGAACTGTACCAGCGCCGCAATCCAGTCACGTAACTGTGCGAACATGAGGGCTACTCATCAAAGTGTGAGTGTTCCTGAGGCGTGGAAATGATGGGATACAGTGAAAGGGAGTCGCTTAGGGTATTCCCAGGAGGGCAGCTGATAAACACAGATCCACTGTGGTAGAGATGAAATGAGGAGCTAGAAACTCCAAGACAATTTCTCTATCAGCCTGACCCAAAAAAAGAGAGAAAAGAAATAAAAAAGCTCAGCTCAAAATGAAGGAAGAGAAAAACAGTAATTAACTGAACTTTATGTGAAGTGTTTGCCTCTTGTCTGACAGGAGCAGTATCTGTCGGCCTGGTCAAAACAAAGGCCATTGGGGTTGCTGATAATGGCTCCACAGGAAGCTTTACAGGGGTACCAGAGGCCGGTTTCTTGAATCATTGAGATGCAAGAAAGGGACTTTTAATGAGCCTGACCTTTCAGGGCCCGATACCTCTGTCTAATCCCTGAGTCCCCGTCTGAGGAAAAACAAGAATATTTAACACTCCTTCAACACTAGCTCAGATATTTTCTCATGTTTTATCACAAACTTGAGATTAATCATTGTGATGATACAGTCGTCTTAGACATCATAGTTTATTATGATTTTCCGTTGAGTTTTATTTGGTTGTAATTTCATGTGCCCCAGTTTTGTTTGTTGAAGTCATGATTTAGCTTATAACAAAACATAATTAAGATTGCAAATATAATTAACAATACTCGGCCACATCTCACATAATACTTAATAAAATGTTTTATGTTGTTGACGAAACTGTAATTCAATAAAATTTCAAATTCTGTTTATTTTTATTTGTTACACTACTGTTACATGTCTATTGGAGTATGTTTTAAATCACATCTAGGTACACTTTAAATGTGCTTAGTATTAGCTCTCATATTTTTATGGAGGTTAATTATGACAGGAAAGATTTAGCCTCTCTACATGTTATATTCTTCCACAGTCTGCCAACTCTTCTAAAGGAAAGTAAATCTGGATAGATTTTAGCCCAGTCAGCTGTAATATTATCAGACAGACCTTGGGGCAACATGCTGGAATGAGAGGCTTCATAAGAGGTCTGACTTTGCTGATACTCATGATTTGAGTGATTCTGTTCTTCACAGTAAGTACAGAGCCGCATGTAACCCTCAGCAAGTGATAGTTTCCCTCATGGGCTCTGTAACCACAATTACGGATGTACGGATAATATTAATATTGTCAGGCAGAGTTAAATTTTCATTTTTTGAGTGAACTATCCCTTTAAGACTCATTTTATATAAACACACTCACAATCCACTGATATTCATTGAAAGATTCATTGACCATCATTTATAGATGTCAAAACAAACTTTAAACCTTTAGGCAACAGTTTCATATTTAAGGAAATAAACATCATAACATAAATACATCATGGTCAGACCAAAGGGCCAAAACAATCTCTTAAAGATTCTAGGGCCCTAATGACTTTCACCTCAGTATTTTCAAACTAGTAGGACATGGCAAAAGAGAAACTTTAACAAAGGTAATATGTAGTTAACTTCTTGACAAAATGTTTGTGTTTGGATGCTAGTTTTAACTAGCTTTATCCAATCCAGTACTAACATTGAGGGAAGCAGATCACAGTACCACCCTAGATTCAATTAGTCTCTGCATACACTTTGCAAATGGCTTGCAAACATATGCTGCTAATTGCTTTTCATTTGGGAGCCAGTGATCAGAAAATATGCATTTTATAATGTGGCCACTTTTTACCAAAGGCAGTGGAAATTATGGTCATTAGACATCCTTGAATGGATTTCCAGGTTTTTAGACCTATTAATTTTTAGTCCTCTTTGTCGCCATCTCTGTTCAAAATCTGCAATTGCAGTCATTTGCGGAATAATCCGTAGCTTTTGGGGGAGGTTAAATATTATCCAAAAATACATATTTGAGAAAATAACCAGCCAGTGTTCAAAACTAACTGCTTGCCTTAGCTGGATTCAAAGTGGTAAGCTTGTAATAGTGTTTTTAATTCCAGTGGTACTGGTGGATTTCCGCGAGAGATTCGAGCATGTCTTTG